AGGAAAAAAAATGCAGTGAAATGAAATTTAAAAACACTAATAAATAATTTAACAATGACAAGTAATTAAATTAAAAAAAAAATCCCATCTACATACATTATGGTGGTTTGTTAGCAACGCAGAGGGAAGGGTGCAAAGAATCTATGGTGAAAGGCAGCTGGTTAAGTACGAGAGAGCACAGTCATAGTTTTTACAAGTTAAACAAATTGTAACAGACAGCTACAAAATACTACATTTCGATAACATAAATACAGAATATATAAATATACAAGTAATACAGCCATACACAGCTAAAAAATAGGGTGTCACTTAAAAACAGAGTTCCCAATGCAAAGTATCTGGCAGTCCCTTCACATTCACTGCTGAGCAGAAACAGGGTGTGCAGCACCAAGGGGACCTGGGCTGCATCCTTGAGGAGGGCAGACAGTTGGCTGTTTATCCAGACAGGCCTCAAATGAGCCAGACCATGCTCAAATCCCACCAAAGCCAAGAGACTTCACGTGCCTGCCAAGAGGCCAGCAAGCACCCAAGTACGCCCCTGACCGGAGAGCCCAGGCGCCTCGAGCCCTGGCCACGCTGCTGTGGGTGCAGCGGCTGCCGCCCCGTGCCGCTGGGGCGAGGAGGGTGGGCTTGAGACGGACCCGCACCCAGGGAGCGTCTGCAGCGCGGGCACGCACGATGTGGCTTGGGCACAGGACTGAGCAAAGCGCTATCCTGAGCACCTGAGACTCTGGGTGCTGCGGCTCCAGCTCCCACGGCTCTGACGTGCTTTGGTAGCCTCTCTGTCCTGTCACTGCTGCGATCAAGCTCCAGGCTTGTCAGAACCCTCCCCTTCCTCCTGGATTCTGCTGTGAATGTCTAGTGACTTTTGGGGACAACCAGAATTATTATGACACAATTCAAAGAGGTGCTCTCGCAAACCTCAGCTTGCAGCATCCCTAGCAGCATCGCAGAGCCGGGTTCCCTGGGGCACCTGGGGCAGTGGCTTGGGATATACTTCTGATCCTTAAGGAAACTGGAAGGGAGTCCTGAGCACAGTAGGGAGAGGTAAGTGGGTTCACATCATCCCTGGAAGGTTTGCTGGCATGAAGGACCTTCCCCATGCAACGACAGCGCAGCGTGGTGGCTGAGTTGCTGCTGACAGAGTGGCAACGACCCCTTCAAAGGACCCGGCAATTCTCATCCGACTTGTGCAGGCTGGGTCTGAAAAATCCACTCAGCAGCCATTGTGAGACGAACGTGAGTCACACCTCAGGCACGGTTAGCAGCAACTGAGCCAAGCCATCCAGATGTTTTTGATGATAGAATTTAAAGAAGAAAAGGAGATCAAGATGCCTAGGATGGTCTTTCAATCTTGGTGACTGCAGCCACCACACTTTACTTACAGCAACATAATTGTCTTCCATGTCACGACTGTGAAACACATTTATCACCAGCCCCTAACTGCTACAACACAGGGTTTAATCCCTGGTGCTGTGGTAAAGGGGGGGCTGAGAACAGCAGCACGTGGTAGGAATCATCCCCTCGACCGTCAGCTGAGCAATGGAAACGTGCTGCTGCCCATACGAGAGCCCGGCACCAGCATCGGGGACGACGCTGCTCAGGAACCATTTCTGAATGCTGGGAAATCTCTGTGTGCCACTGTGACAGACCCGGCAACTGCGCAACAAAGACCTCTGCGAAAGCTAGTACCTGGCAAGTTCATTCTGATCCCACAATCAACTTTTTTAAACATTATTGAGCAAACACTGAAGCCTAATCAATCACCTTTTACTTAATTGCATCTTGTCACCACTTTAGCTTAACATATATTCCTTGCTTAGCCAAAAGAACATGATTGAAATACCATGAAGAGCTCACTTGATGCGTTTATATAGAGAGGGGTTAATTTCCTAGGGAAAATGATCACTGTAAGGTGCATGTAATAAACTGCTGTCATGACCTCTAGCCTTCAAGCTCCCATATGTGCAATCACTGTTTGTGGTTTCCGTGGAAGTGCCAGATGCTAAGAATTTTTGGCAAGAGTTTATCAATTTGACTCAGTGTAAGATATTACTGTGATATAGCCCATTAAACATTTTACTTTCACCTGATCGGTGACGTTCCCTTGACAATAGAAGAGTAAAGCAGAAATCAAAAAGGTCAGAGGTTGCTACATAATCTTTTACTGCAGGTCCCAGGTTAAAACCACAATGATCACACTCCAGTAGGGCAATTCATTCCACAAAAAAAAAAAAGTGACATTTATTTTGCTTTAATAAACTTTGGCCTTTGCCAGATATAACGGGTCCACTGGAAATCATTGGCTATGCATTCCTTCCCTTGAGCAGCAGCAACCCACAGTGGCACAGGAAACGTTAAGCATGCCAGAGGGCTTGGCTGTGTCGTGCACGTGGCACCAGAGATGGCAGAATACAGGGGAACAAACAGCTAAGGCATCATCACACAACACACCAAGGGAAGAAGGAATGGTACGTACATGCAATGAAAAGAAGAAAAAAAAAAAAAGGTGGAAAACAGTCATCCAAAAATCAGCAAAAGATTACGGTTACTTCAGCTATAAAATGGGATATCTGATTCTTTCCTTGGAAATGGATTGGGTTTTCAACATCCAGCCCAGAAGAGAGGTAGAGTTGGGACAAGGCAGTTCTCCAGACTGTAGGTCACATTATAGTTCTCATAGAAGTCCCTGTAAACACTAAAAATGCCATTTTGTTCCTGTCAGTAATGAGGGGTGAATCAAGGCTGTGCCTATGCGTACAGTCTATAAACCCGCTATGTTTAAGATGGTGAAGATGCTTTTCTATGACTCTAAAGTAGCACAGCAGGAGGGTGGGGAGGAAAACTTGACGAGTCCGTTGAGATCGGTGGTGACAAATGTTTATAATGTGCCATATGAAATCTGCTTGCCTTCTGCCCTGCAAGCAGTGAGGATCACCTGAGTTCTTTATAGATGTTTGCTATCATGCAGAGAGAAAGGAAATTGTTATTTATTTTGATACAGAAGGAAAGCGAAAAATAATTGAAGTGGATGGTTAAGAAAAGAAAATCCTTCCAATTTCAAAACGGATCCAGAGGCTCTTGAGCCTCAGCTGAAAGTCCACATCCCTGTCAGAAAGCGAGGACGGTCGCTAGCAAAAGCACCGGGGTGCATCGGGCCCATCGCCCTGGGCATGGCAGCCCGCAGTTCAGGGTGCCGCCGCAGAGGGAGGAGAGGGGAACCTGCAGGGAGGGCAGCGTCATCCCCGCATCCTCGCAGAGACATCAGCCCCTTCCCTCGGGAAGGCTGCGTGTGCGGCACACAGCGGCTCTGCCACCGCACGGGGTTTGCCCCGGCTCCGCGCTTTGCTCTCCCACACCGCACGCAGCCTTCTCCCCCGCTGCCTTCCTCGCTCCACAGAGGGAAAACGCACGCCCTTATCTCGCAAATAAAACTTTGCTTGCCCGAGAAACCTCTAACACACTGGGTCCACACTTCCACGCTGCGGGGGGACCGTGATCGCGTTTTTTCCTTGGACCTACCGCCCGACCCCCGCCATCCACCCCTCCGGGACACAAGGAGGACCTTTCTCCATCAGCAAAGGGGTGGGCAGCTGCTCGCGGGGCTCCCCAGCAGGAACCCCTCTGCGAGGCCGTGGTGCCCCCAGCGCTGCTCCCTCCCCAGGTGCTGAGGCTGCGGAGCCCCGCTCTGGCCTGCCCCCCATGACGGGGGTCCCAGAGCACCCCGCACTCCTGCAGAAGGTGCTGAGCCCCGCAGGCAATGGCAGCGCTGTGCGGGTCCCAGTCCTCAGCCTGGAGGAGTCGGATTAACCAACACTTTGGACTTGTTTTCGGCTATTATGGTCAATATATTAAAGGTATTTATTTAAGAAAGTGCCTATCCTGCCAATCTTTCCCCATGAGCTGTATTTTGAACACACCCTATAATTACTGATATTACCCTGGCAAATTTTCCCCATGAAGTTTTCTCCACTAAGAGCCATGACCATACTTGTCTGCTTCCCCACATTATAATTATCACCAGGGAATATTTATAACTATACTATTATTATTTATGATATTTTATGCCCTACAAAAACTTATATGACATATGCTCAAACTTCAGCATCTGAGACCTTCAGACTTCAGCTGGGACATTCCCTTCAATCTGGGTACTTGTTCTTCCTACATTTGCACTAACAGATTAGTTGGAGTATTTCTTGTAAATACAGGAGTCCCGTCAGCATGAAACCTGCAGGACTTGGGTTAGGCTCCAGCTCAACATATCGAAACCTCCCACTGTGATCTCGTCCATCCTTTTTCTTCCCCAGTCGGTGCACATTTCAGGACTTCTGATGGTTCAGGCTAGAACTGTATATCATAGATTCTTGCTGAGGCGAGATAATTAACTAAAGGAGTGCTTAATTATTCCAGATGGACAATGCAGCATAGCACATTTATGCCTCATGCAAAACATAAATAAACACAACAGAATGAACAACACATGTTTGCCAACCGTGGTCTAGACTTGAAATTTGGCACTGCAATACTTGCAAACAAATGCAAATGTTTTATTCTCACTCGTAAAAAAAATTAAATAAAACTCTGTCTTGTAAGCACCTTTAGTTTAATTATTTAAGATCAATACTAACCTAAATGCCTCTGTCCCTAACATGCATCTCCTCTCCAGGGTCATAGACGTTTCTTATTATGAAATCACTGGCTTTCTCCACAAATATTACTGTAACCAGTTTCCTTAGTACCATACGCATAAGGGCTATAAACTAATGAGCAGATCTAGGTTATGTAGAAAAAGTGTAGAAAGGAAACAAATGCTGAACGTCACATTTACATTAACTTCTCACAGTTCAAATGGCAATTTATCCACAACATAGTATGAATCATGCAGTAAGAAAAGGGAGGAATCTCCAGTTTCTTTGATTTATTTGTCATATGGTTGACCGATGTCAGTATCAGTGGCTTTAAAAAAAAAAAAGTTTAAACATCCAAAAGAAAGGAGGAGAGAAAGGAGGAAAAGGTCTAGCTTTCCGCAAATTCCATTTCCTTTACAACGATGAGCTCAAACCAAACCAAACCAAAGGTTGCTGACGAGCAGGGTCTTCTGTTCCTTCCGTGCTTGTCTCGTGGTCTGGTGCAAGCTGGGAATCAGGGGTATGGGACTGGTGGATGCGTTTTGTTTATATATGTATGTATGTATGTAGGTAGGCATTAATATATATATACATACATACACATATATGCACACAGATACAGTCTTCCTAAAAATGCTCTTTGCAGTCCAGAGGCAGCAGGAGTCTCTGTGAAGGAAGAGCTGGACAACATATGGCTGTAGAGTCTGCACTGGAAAAAGTCACTGGCTAAATATACGCCGGCTGTTTGTTTTCTTTTATTTTCATGAGGCAAAATACGAGCTCTGCATAGAGTACAGCCTGTCAATGGGGTTTCCTACTCTAGCCTGCATGGAGTTAACTTCGGAAGAGGCAAGAAAACAGTCGCTCAAGCTAGTTAAAGAGGTATCACTGTCGATATCATGAAAAATGGAGTCGTTTCCTGCAAATGAAACGTATATGTTAAGCTGGGTTCTGTGCAGCCAGAGGAGGACACAGTACACATGGATGCTCACACGCTGCGCACTGCACAAAAGGCAATGCTCCTGGTTTTGTTTTCACACGTTAACGCAATTTCACTCTAAGGGTCTGACCTGCAAAGAGGAAGGCTAGCAACCAATTCGCAGAGCTCAGCTGGCAGCAGTGCCACCAAACCTGCCAGGATTTAACGTACGCGTCAGTCAGCAGCACAAAAGAGAGTCTTGGCTGACGACGGGAGCAAACGGTGCTGGGAGGAGCAGGTCCCCAGCTCTCCGGGAGCTGGGATCCGGCATTCGCGGGGGCACCGGGGCAGCCGAGGAAGGTGGGACCAGACATCGAGCGCCCGCAACAGCAAGGTGAAAGACAGATCTGCAAACGTGACAGGGCCCAGGAGGAGACCCAGCTTCCCTGGCCTCAAGTGAGCGACAGTTGCAAACATGCTTTCACTTCAGAAAATTTCACTCTTTCTGGGCTGGTTTGGAACAGCACCCTTTATTTTTCTTAGCAACTAAGATTTCAGCTTGCTTCAACTCTTAAGGTGCCAGAAAGAGCCCTAGCTCAAGTCCCGTGGGCACTAAGAAAGTGTTAGTCTGAATCATCTTCCTCGTGCACTCCTCTGAATCGGCTTTGCGCCATCTCCTCCCACACTCGTTTTGGAGCACAGAACCTGCCTCTCAAGGCGTTTTGCTTAGAAAGCCCAGCAACAACACGACGCACCACCTGACGCTCACTGGCACTGCAGATGTCCTCAGCTCCTTACAGGGTTTACCAAACTGCCTGGTGTGTACCATGGACTTGTCTCAGTGGGAAAAGGGATAACACAGACCCAAAGCAGATTTCTTGTCGGCCTGTGCACGCTGTGCTCATGAAAGTGATAAGCACGAGGACCTCTACAGTGAAGTGCTCCTGGCCAGCAGAAACAAGTCTGACATAACAGGCCCCTGTGGGCTACAGCAAGGCCAATAATCACAGTCTGAGAAATCCTCTTAAATTTTATTTAAATGCCATACTGCAACTGTCCAGAACCAATTATTAGGCATTTAATGCTTGTGATGCATTTGGTGTACCTATCCACTTGATGGTGTATGGTCAGGAAACTGTGAAAGTAAACCATCATCTTGATTTTGGGCAGAGAATAAAATTACGCAGGAGAAAAGTCCTGTGGTGACAGATCTCTTAGTAGCTCAAGAACTGTTCTTTAACAAATCCACGCATCCAATCTGAGGGCTCTCACAGGGGTGCTTACTCATTTTGGAATGAATAGATTACTTCTCTTTATTGAAGGCACTTTTTCCCCAAAGCCTCTAAGAAAAACTTGTGAGGGAGCTAGAATTTGGTAGGGTTTATTTTTCAATGTCTTGGATTACTTTTCAGTGTCTTGGATAGTGGTTTAAAAAAGTGGAGCTGGAGAGGTGATGTTGCCTGGTTTATCATTTATCAGAATTACAACGTGAAATCGTTCTGAAGGGTGTCCAGAGCCTGACATGAGCTCTCTTCTACCCCCTTCTGTGTACATGAAAACATACACACAAAACTGACCAGTACAAATTCCCAGGTACAAATCCTAGAAAAAATATTATAAAAGCAAGTAACTACTGAACCTGTGGTGTGTGAACCAGCATAAGAACCCTGCTATTTCTGATGTGGCAGAATGATGCATGCCTTACCATAAGGGTTCATGTGGTCGCCTGGCATTTGTGGAGGGGTAAGACCCTGCTGAAACGGGTCTGTGCCATAACTGCTTTGATCCATTGCTACAATCTGCTGCTGTGGTGGTGCAAGTGGCGTGTAAGATGTCATCATCCCTTCCATTCGGTTGGACATTACTTCTGCAAAGCAAACAGGAGGGCACAGTCACGGCTTAGGAACAAGGAGGCAGCAGACAGTAGCATCAGTGGCAATACTGAACCCGAGCGCAGAGCGAACACAGCTAGGTGTGTCCTGTCATTCAGAGGAGCTCTCCAAATTTTGTCTGAGAGTACAACCCTGAGCAGTAAGTTGAAAGACTTGTAATTTCTGACTATCATTTCTGGAGCTCCCGGGTGCTGGACCGTACCTTCCCAAAGTCTCCCCTGCGCATGACACAGCCCTATTATTCTCTGACTTCTGTTGGTACCAGTTTTTCTGGCTCTGCGTAAAGAGGAGGATTTGAGGCTGCAAGGCCTTGGGAGTTGGAGAACCTCCAGAGCATCCGTGGCGCAGCAGGGCAAACCCTGGTGCCTCTGTGCAGCTCCTGCCCCAGGGTCCAGCCAGCTGCTGGGGCACAGGAGGGGCTCCCCGTGCCTTGGCTGTGGCAGCGATGCTGACGCGCCAGCAAGGAGCCTGCAGACGCCCAGCTGAGCACGGTCCCCATTTCTTCAGGAGAAAACAAACTGGAGGATCCACCTGGGGTGAGCCTCCTGGAGAAAGTGCCTCTATACAGCATATTTCTTCTAGAAAGGAGGCAACAGCTTCTGTGTAAAGCACCTCCAGGGCTTCCCCATGGGAGAACTCTGGGATAACCTGGGTGGGCACCCAGACACAGCACCTCTGCGTGTTTCCACTGACGACGGCAGGTTATCCACAGACTTGTGTACGCCCCGTATGGCTGTACTCCAGACATTATGAGGGAACAGCACTTCAAGAAACCTTGCAGATTCTTTTCCCCTTTCTTTGCCTTCATCACAAATCCCCTACCTTGCCCTAGTCGCTGCGAGTTTTGTTGCTCCTGCTGCTGCTGATGCCTTCGTGCTAGTTTTTTCATCTGAATAAAAGAGGAAGAACAAGAACAATCTCACAGCTCTGAATTCTGTTTCCTTACAAAACTCTCTGCAAACATCGAATCAATTAATACAGACCATTTATACTCATGCACACACCCCTATGAGTTCAGCTTTGTTTCTAAGCTTAAAACATTTCAGTTTCCAGTTCATATTTGCATGCAAAATTTACTCCCAACCTCATGCTGCTTTGAGCACACCAACTTAACGCCTGTGTTTGAAAGTGGCCTTTCTTGTATGGACGTAGGCAGCAGTGCACGCAAAATACATACAGTTCAGTCCCTGGGATCTCTGTGGTATGCACTACATCGAGGGGGAGGGAGAAATCTGGGTTAGAGGACAATTTGCATTTTACTTTTAAGAACTTGACAAACAACCTACCTTTGCTCTTTGGTTTTGAAACCAGACCTGGACAACTCGCACACTGAGTCCTGTTTCAGCTGCTAGTGTTTCTCTGACCTACAAGAGGAAATGTTTAATGATGTGATTTTTTAAATATATTTTTTAAAAACTAATCAGTTACGTTAGAAGGAATATGTCTGTACTTACAATAAAAACTGCACATACAGAATTACTTTTAAAAATTACTCATGTTTTTGCATAGTTGTTTAAGTTCTGCCCTTCATGTTGCTACCAGTTTCAAAAGTACTGAACAAATAGTCTAAGCTGTGTAAAATGACACTAAATCATTCAATGATTTTTATATTACCCACAAAACAGTTCTGTGCAAAAAGATACATATTTGTCTGTAAACAATTTTCATGTTGTTGAGGTACAATTTCATACTTTAAAACAGCAAAAAGGTACATCGCACTGACCCAAAAGACATATTTTGTATGTCAGCAGGAGAACGTCACTTTTTGCAAAAATGACAGCTTTCAGGATGCAGCTCGATTTTTTTCCAGTCAAACTCAGAAGGAAACAGTTACTTGGGTTGCTTTTCGCAAAGATTTGATTTTCACCAGATTCACCCGTGAAGCAACAGGTTACACCTTTCCCTAGCTGCTATAAACACCACCAACAGCAGGGTTAAGCTTCATAAAAAAACAAGACTGGAAGAAGAAGTGGTGGGACCAAAGCTGAGCACCCGTCCCACTAGACCTGTGGTGGGAAGGAGAAGCGCAAAAGCCTCTCGTTTACCTGGGCTTTGACAGTCAAGGCCTATTTCACGTTTTATAAGAACCCAATATT